ACCTATTGGGGTTAAATAAGGATCAGGATAAACAAATAAGCCGAATAGATGTTTATTCAGGGAGAAATAACTTACAACCTAGACCGATGAACACCAATAAGTTCCACCAGATGCTCTCCTGTCCCAGTCCCGCCAGCAAGAGCGTTCCTTAGACCTCCTTTTACAGGTTACTTCTGCCCATGGCTCCACCCCCCAATGGGCGTGGTCAGTGCCACAGAAGGGGACAAAATAACTATCTCACTACAATTCCCCTTTTAGTCTAAAGAAAAGATTTAGGCTTAATACAAAACTATATACAAAACAGTGAATAACAAGTGTGCTCTAAGAAAAGGAAAATCGAGAACAAAATGACCTACATATCTAGTCTTAGGGTGAAGGCATACCGGAGTTTACAATAGCGTTGTCCTAAGCTGGAAAACGTAAGTCTAGTACCTAATATATCTAACTAGGAAGAGAGAATAATAGTTGTGATAGTTTAATCTTCAACCTCATCAAGACCTGAGAAGGAAAATAACGATACTAGGGTAGACAGGAAGTGCGGATGGACAACTTCCAAAAGGTGCAGCAAGGACAGAAACAGCAAGCCACCTGGACAGTCACCCTAGGTCTCACAGCAACGTTGGTACACCCAGTTTTGGCTAAGGCCAAGAGAACTTGACAGACCACAACAACAGTAGGGAGGTAGAATGGCTGTCTTACCCTGACTTGGCAAGGTCCAGCAGTCTTCTATATTTGTCTCCTGCCAGCACATAGAACAGCATGTCCAAATCAGTGGTCAAGGTGGGGGCAGTTCTTTGCCCAATAGGCCATTAGCTGAGGCAAGAATGAACTCCAGCAGGAGCAACAACAGTGTCCAACATATTTTCGGGAAAGTGCTGTCAGGAGCAACAGTGTCTCTTGTCAACAGTGTACTAATATTAAAATATTTAAATGCCATGTTCTGCATGTCTATGAAGTGATTGAAGATTAAGCATCTGTATCTGACTAATCTCATAGGTACAGGAAAACATGAGTGAAGATAACTTGTAATACTCAGGAACTTAACTAAAAAACTGATTGAAACTTCCCTGAGTAAAGCAGGAATAAATACTTAAACAATATAACTATATACATATACATACATATAAATCCCTAAAATAGAGGTAGAGTAGAAATGTCAAGACAAGAGGTAGAACTATAAAGGGCAGCATGATAAATATTCCAAATTGTATCAATATACAAAATGTCTTGAATACAAGAAAAGTATACATACATAGAATATGGCAAGAATAAATGTACATAAATTGTATCAATATGAAATGTCTTGAACATAAGTAAAAGTATACATACTATCTCACTACATAAACCAGGTGAGAACCTGGAGGCAGGAGCTGATGCAGAGGCTACAGAGGAGTGCTGCTTCTGGTTTGATCCTTCTTATCTCTTGCTTAGCTTGTTTTCTTATAGAATCCAGAACCACCAGCCGAAGGGTGGCACCACGCACAATGCACCCCACCTCCAATCAATCACTAATTGAGAAAATACCCTACAGCCAAAGTAGTCTGCCTGTACAGCCCAGTCTTAAGGAGCCCTTTTCTCAATTGAGGTTCCCTTCTCTTATATTACTCTAGCTTGTGATAAGTTGACAGAAAACTAGCTAGCACAATGCATATGGGTGTTTTGCCTGCATGTATGTCTATGTACCACATATATTCCTGGTACCCAAGGAGGCCAGAAGAGGACTGGAATTACAGGAGCTTGTGAGCTGCCACGTGGGTGCTGAGAATGGAATCTGTGGTAGAGCAGCCAGTAATATAACCCATCATGATGGCAAAGTCAAGGTAAAGAGTTGAAGCAGCTGGTTACATTTTATCCATAACTAGGAATAGATCAATAAGTGCATGCTGCTCAGTTACCTTTCTGTATTTATACAGATTAGTGGTTGGATCTTCCCTCCTCCATCATGTAAGCAAGATAATCCTCCACAGGCTGGTCAGAGGCCCATTTCCTACAGTTCACACAACCACAGACTCAGTGCTTCTGCTTATTTTTTTAAACATCATTCATTCTGGGGTGCTGGGCATCAAGCTTGCTCATGCTAAGCAGGCGCTCTACCACTGTGCTATATACTGAATACCCTTGCTTTGTTCATTTTTCAACTGGGTGTATATTAATTTTTAGTATATTTTTATTATTGAGTTATTAAGATTTCTTTATGCATTTTTTTCTTGTTTTTTTTTTTTTTTTCTTCTTGTTTCTTCTTGTTTTTGTTTTCCAATACAGGGTTTCTCTGTGTAACAGTCCTGGCTGTTCTGGAACTTAATTTGTAGACCTGGCTGGCTTCCAGCTCATAGAGATAACACACTAAACAATAAAATTTAAATAATAACAATAGTAAAAATGATCAGCTTCCTGGATCAGGGAAGAAGACTAAAGGCTTTCAGAATAGGAGCCTTGGTCTGTCCAGGATGAGGTGTCTAGCAGAAGTTGGTCATGCCTAAATCAGTGCTGGCTGTCTTGGATACCCTTTACAAATACAAGTGCTCAGAGGAGCTGCCTAAGAAGGAATTTCTCCCAAGGTTCCCTTTGCTGTGGTGGAGCCACCATGGTCTCCCACCTGTGGAACAGGTGCTGAAGGCAGGCTACCTTTATTATTATTTGGTGGGAGGTGGGATTCAAAACAGGGTTTCTCTGTAGCTCTGGAGCCTGTCCTGGAACTCACTCTGTAGACCAGGCTGTCCTCAAACTCACACAGGTCCACCTGCCTCTGCCTCCTGAGTGCTGGGATTAAAGGCGTGTGCTGCCACTGCCTGGCTTGCCTTTATTATTTTCTAACAGTTGTGTCTATGGTATTTCTTACAATTTCTTTTTTTGTTAATGTATATGAGTGCTCTACCTACATTTTCACCTTTATGCTAAAAGAGGGCATCAGAACCCATTACAGATGGTTGTGAGCTACCATGTGATACTGGGAATTGAACTCAGGTCCTCTGGAAAAGCAGACAGTGCTCTTAATTGCTGAGCCATCTCTACAGTGCTGACGGTAGTATTTCTTTGGATAGGACTGTGGCTAAGAGAAGACTTCTTAGCTGGGTATTGTGGCATATGCTTTTAATACCAACACTCTGGAGGCAGCGTAGATTTCTGAGTTTGAGTCCAGCCTGGTCTACAGAGTGAGTTCCAGGTCTGCTAACGGCTATACACAGAAACCCTGTCTTGAAAAACCAAAAGCCAGAATTCCATCAGTAACTTTTCAGTCTTGATTTCAGTTTGCTTCTCATACTCTCCATAGTTACTTCATTTATAGAAACCAGGACATTGTTATTTCATTTGAACATGTTTTAGTGTCCTGCCATTCTTGGTGGGTGTCTATTCTGTGATATTGTCTATGGAGGTGTGCTTCCCCAGCACAGAGCTTGCTGGTCCATGTGGGGGTGTTTGCTGCGGGGCTTGGCAGGCCCTTGTGTTCAGCTTGCTCAAGCTGCTGTAGTTCTTTCAGAAGTATCATCCATCATTTTTGTTCCTGTAACCAAGCCTCAGGGGTAGAAAGGAGAGCAATGATGGAAGGAAAGGCACACAGCAGGTGTGGTCCTGGCCTGGAAACACAGTTGCAAGGGTGGCAGCTTTGATGCCAGCTCTGCCTTCTACCTGCCCTCCTTCCTGCTTACTAGTTGGAATGTTGCAGTGCCTTACAGAGCTTAAATGTTCTACACCAACACTACTACAGAGAGGGCTTGTAGTGAGCCTTTTTCTGCCCTGCCAACCAGCTCCCGAATAATGACAGAGACTTACTAGTTATGAAAGCTCGATCTTAGCTTAGGCTTGTCCCACTAACTTTTACAACTTAAATTAACCCATAGTTCTGAATATATGTTCCATGAGGTGGCTTCTACCCATATCCCATTCTGTGTGTCGAATCTCCATGGTTTCTCTGCCTCTTTTCTTCCCATAATTCTTTCTCTTCTGGAAGTCCCACCTATACCTTCTGCTCAGCTATTGGCCATTTAGCTCTTTATTAAACCAATCAGGAGGAGCCTTAACAAAGACACAGCTTCAGTGTACAAAAAGATTATTCCACAACAGGGGCTAAAGTTTCAACACATATGACCCTTTCTGGTATTAAAGGCTATTGAAGGCATCATACCTCTGAACATCCTGAGCCCTGGTATTCTGGATATTGCTAGATAAAGGGAGACTTTGGATTCTTGTTATTCCCTGAGAACCTCAGGCCTGTGCTTGGTCCCTTGGCCCCAAGGAGTCTCTAGCTTGGCCTTGTTTTGGGGCTGTTCTCCACAATTAAGAGTGATTCTGGAAGCCAAGTGCTTACACCTATGGTCCCAGTACTCAGGAGGATTCTCTAGGTCAGGGCTAGCCTGTCTACATAGTAAGTTTCAGTTTAGTTTCTACTATGTAGCAAGATCCTGTCTGGAAAAAAATAAAACAGAACAAAATATTGCTGGGGAGGTCATCAGAAGACACTAAATTCCCTTTAGTAAAATACGGTGGTGGCACTTGACAGATGGTTGTCCACAGCCCTTTGTGAGGGGCTTTTTGCACATGGTGTATACATGAATATTACGAACATTCTTCCCACCAGCCTGGTCACAGAGCCCCATCAGTCCCAAATGAGCACACAAATGCTATATTAATTATAATACTGTTGGCTAGGGTTTCTTATTGGCTAGCTTTGCCTTAATTACTAACCCATTTCTAGCAATCTATGTATTGCCATGAGGCTGTGGCTTACCCAGTAATGATGGCATGGTGTTACTCCTCCAGCGTACATATCGACTGACTCTGCCTAGAATCCTTCCTAGAATCCTTCTTGTCTCCTAGTCCCACCTATCATCCTACTTCATTGGCCACAGTGTTTTATCCATCAACCTACTGGAGAAACATGTACAGAAGACATCCCCATCACTAAAACAGCCCCATGACACCTCTGCATTTCCCTTCCTCTGGGAGTTGTAGTTAGCTGTATTATTCTCTCTGAAGGTTTTTCTTTGTTTTCATTCTTGAAGGACTGCCACCAACACCAGTACAGCTGCTCTATCCAGTATCCAGATTCAGCAATGTCAAGTCCCTTCAGCATCTTTGCAGATTTCGGATCCGGCAACTTGTCCGAATAGATCATATTCCGGATCTCCCACTGCCTAAGTACAATGGGGTCATCAGGGTTAGGGCAGGGTTGGAGGGTTAAAAATGCCTTTAAAGCTTGCAGGTTGCTCCCAGAGGCCAAGCCTAGCATGAAATATTTGTATGCATTGTTCTTTTATTCCCCGTGTCTTAGCACTTAACTCTAGAGCTGTATCATTACAGTAGATAACGTAGATAGGGAGGAAGACATGTATGTTGGCCTCACTCTGCAGGCCTTGGGCAGAATGCAGTGCAGTAAAGTAAGGGAGACAGAGGGAGACAGATGTGTAAAGAATGAGAAGATGAGAATTTTGTCAGGTTGGCAAAGGCTATTCAGTAATTATAGCCATATAAACGAATAGAGAAGGGAGGGTTCAGTTGATTTCCTGAGAATTTTTCCCTATAAAAGTACTGTGTCTCCTTGCTTTTCACAGACCTTTGATCTCTTACATTCGAAAGTTCTACTACTATGATCCTCAGGAAGAGGTGTACCTGTCCCTAAAGGAAGCGCAGCTCATTTCCAAACAGAAACAAGAGGCGGAGCCGTCCACGTAGCAGCCCTCCATGTATGCTGTTCAGCATAAAGGTAGGAACATTGCCTCTTTGTCAGACCACTAGACCTTTCCTGAGTATACTTTTGACCCATGCATCTGTCTATAATTGGTTCGTTTGAAGAAAATACAACAGGCACAAAGGCTTAAAGCATTGATACTCAACCTTCTTAATGCTTCAACCCTTTAATACATTTCTTCATGTTGTGGTGATCCCCAGCCATAGAGTTATTTTCATTGTTAATTCACAACTGCAATTTTGTTACTGCTATGAATCATAATGTAAATATTATTGGAGATAGAGATTGCCAAAGGGGCCGTAGCCCACAGTCTTACAGAAGATCCAGGTCAGCTCCCAGCCCACACAGAAAGTCAAAACCATCTGTAAATCCAGTTCCAAGGGGTGGGGTGCCCTCTTCGGGCCTCCATGGACACCTGGCATGCATGTGGTACACAGACATATATGCCGGCAAACACTCACCCATAAATTAAAACAAAATAAATACTGTCTTTTCCTTTGTAAGAGAGAGAGCTGGGGATTTAGTTTGGTAGGAGAGTGCTTGATCCCTAGTACTACTGCTACTGAACTACTGAGGTAGAGGCAAGTGGATCTCTACAAGTTCAAGGCCAGCCTGATTTACCAAGTGAGTTTCAGGACAACCAGGGCTGTTATATAGAGAAACCCTGTCTCGAAAAACAAAAACAAAAAAACAAACAAAAAATATTTTTTCTTTTTTTAAACTAAGCTGAACATAGTATTATACGCCTGTGATTCTAGCATTGGGAGGATCGTAACTTGAGGCCCAGTGTAGGGGAAGGGGGGTAGCACACTATAAGCATAAGTAAGGTAGACACAGTGAGTGCATATGCAGCCTTCTCATATGTGCTGTAGCTGATCTCCAGGGTACCGCATGCATGATATAGAAAGCAAGAGCCCAGAGAGGAAGTTCCTGGAAAGGAATTCATGTATGCATTTATTTTTAAAAGGCATGATTTTTAGTAAGAGTTCCACCAAGGTCTATATTTTGAGATGGGGGTTGAGAAAAAGCAACCTAACTTTTCTCAGCTATTACAAAGTAAATGTTCAGAAGAATAGATTAGACTGGGCAAGGTGGCACACATCAAAATCCCTGCAATGAGGAGGTAGAGGCCACAGGATCAGAGTTCTAGGTTGGCCTCATATACACAGTAAGTTTGAGGCCAGCTTCATGAGATCCTGTTTCAAACCACACCACACACACTGTAAACAAACAAACAAATAATTAAATAGTGTCTGGAGAGATGGCAGTTAAACTCACATACTGCTTTTGCACAGGTCCTGAGTGTCCCAATTTCCAGCAGCTTACAACCTGCTATAACACCAACCACCTCCAGGGGGCTTCAACACTCTTCTGGTGTCTGAAGGCATTGTACTCGTGCACAAACCCAACCAGACACAGGCACATAATAAAAAGAGAAAAAGTAAAGAGTAAACGAGGAATTAAATTGTTGAAGTTAGAGGCCATTCTCCTACTGCCCTGCTGAGGTCTTCTCTCTTTGTAAGTTGTTTTGAGTACATGTTTGTGTTGGAAATTCTTATTACTGGTAGTAGTGTTTGTAGTAGTGTGGGCATGTGGAGGTCAGGGACAGTGTTGTGGGGTCAGTTCTCTCCTTCCACCTTTCCATGGATTCTGGCAATCAAGCTCAAATCACCAGGCTTCCCAGGCAAGTGCCTTAAACCACTGAGCCATCTTGCCAATGCTTGTTATTAATAGATAGTCTCATATATCTGACTAACCTTGAACTACCAATTGTCCTGCCAGCATCTCCCCAAGTATGGCGCCATACTCTGTGCCAATGGAGTCTTATTAGCTTGTTTGTTTCTTTATTTGAGATTTTATTTTTGTTTTAGTTGTGTGTGGGGAAGGGTGGTGCACATATGAGCTCAGGTACATATGTAGTCCAGAAGAGTCAGATCCCTTAAAACTATATTCAGGTCCATGCAAGACCTAGACTAATCTCTATTTTTTTTTCCTCTTAACTAGGTCATTTCTGTTTGGTTGTTTGGTTTTTATTTGTTTATTTTTTATTCATTGCTAGGTTTTTACTGCGTTACTATACACTACCATGTGTGGTCTAATTAGTTTTTTTGGTTTTTTTTTTTTTTTTTTTGTTCTTGTTTTTTGTTTTATTTTTGAGAGGGGGTCTCACTATGTAGCCTTGACTGGTCTGGAATTCAAGTTAACTTCAAACTCATAGAGTACTGAGATTAAAAAGCTCTACCGCACCTGGCTTATTTAGTACTAAAGTGAAAATTCAAAGATTGGCCTGAGTAGGAAGTAGCATTTGTAGGGACTGTTGTTTTGGCTGTGCTGATGACATGCCCATGCTCGCTCCATTCCATGTCATCTGCCAGTTTTCTCTGTGTAGTTTTGGAGGCTGTCCTGGAACTCGCTCTATAGGCCAGGCTGGCCTTGAACTCACAGATCCGCCTACCTCTGCCTCCCGAGTGCTGGGATTAAAGGTGTGCACCAACAACACCCGGCTCTTTAATTTTTTTTTAAAAAAAATGTATGCATATGGGTATTTTGCCTGTATATATATCTATGCACCACATCCATGCCTAGTGCCAGTGGAGGCCAGAAGAAGGCATCAAATCTCCTGGAACTGGAGTTACAAATAGTTTTGTATTGCCGTGTGGGTGCTGGGAGTAGTGGCCAGTGTTCTTAAAGGCTAAGCCCCTCCATTGTGTTTTCTTTAACCATACCAAGGTAAACTTATTGCGTGTCTCTGCTGGGCTCTGGAAGTCCCAGATCCTGTGCTGTTATGGGAAAGCAGGTGAGTCATGCTAATGAGTATTATTATCAAGGTCAGAGACTAAGGCAAAAATAGACCACAAGATAGTTGGTCTGGAATGCTGTGGAGCTCTGACTTAAGGGTTCAAGTCTGGATGTAAAACTGTTCACATCTTTAGTTACATGCAGGTTGTGTGCAGGAAGTGATTCCTAGCATATCCACGTGCTTAAGCATATCGAAAGATTTCTCTATGTGGTGGCCTTACAATTAGGACAGAAGCTGGGTGTGGTGACACATGTCTGCAATCCCAGCAGGAAGGTGAAAGCAGTAGAATCTGTTTCTTTTTTAGATTTTATTTAATTATGTCACTGTATAGGAGTATGCAGACATAATGCAGGTGCTTTGAGAGGCCAGAAGGTGTCAGGCTCCATAGCTCTGGAATTACAGGTGCTTGTCACCTACCCATCCACCCAATCGTGGGTACTGAGAATTGAAATTGGATCTTGGAAGAGCATCAAGAACTTTTATCCATAGAGCCTTCTCTCCAGTCCAGGACATCTGATTCCATGAGACTACCCTGGGCTTCATAGAAGATGGTTTTATCCACTGAGCCATCTTACCAGCCCAAAAGACTCTTTGGAGATGAGGGCAGGGTCTCACCAGCTCTAACTGGCCTGGGACTCATAAAGACCCACCTACCTCTCCCTTTTGAGTACTGGTTTGTGCTACCATGCTCAGCCACCATGCTTTTTTATATCAAAATCCTGTCTCAAAAATAAAAAGATCAGAATGGAAAACTTATAGGGAACTAAAAGCATCCACTGAAATCTCTGTCCCCTTTTTAAAGTATTTAGTGCGTGCATGCACGAGTGTGTATCTGTGCCTTTGTGATTTAATGTATACCCATGCATGGAGAAGATTGTAGAGGTCTGAAGACAGCATTGGGTCCTCTGGAACCAAAGTCAGTAGGGGTTTATAAGCTACATGTGGGTTCTGGGAAGTGAGCTCAGGTCCTCTGTAAAAGTAGTAAGCACTCTTAACCTCCAAGTCATCTCTCCAGCCCCCTATTGAGAAGCAGTAGGATCCTTCAGTTAGAACATGATTTCTGTGGGTGCTGTGGGAACACATTCAGAAGTGCTTGGGTGTTGGGGGCACTCCAGACATCATCATATGGGAGGACATAATTGGACTGGAAATACAGTTAACCCAGAGCAGAGTATTAGGGTGGACAGCAGAGAGAAGTCCTTGGAGGGTTTTCCCAAGGAAGAGTGTTTATGTCCTTTGTGGCTTTGTCAGACACAACAAGAACCAAAATCCACAGAGACAGTTACCACATCGGCTGTTACAGTGTTTGTGGAAGTGTCTGGTTGTCCAGCTGCTGTTCTGCTTTGGAGCTGGTCTTCTCCTTCCCACAGTGGCTGGTCTGTTCTCCTCTCTCTCTTTTGGTTCTACTACTCTGAACTGTGGTTTTTGTTTTGTTTCCCTTTTTACCTAGGCGTTTTGATTGCCAAGCTCCAGTTTGAAGAACCAAATGAAGCTACCACAAAAGAACTTGGCAGAAAGAGAATAGAGTGGGGTGTAATTCCGGCACAGACTTTGGCTCCCCTGCAGCTCTGGGGCTTGGAAGAAGCACACAGCCATCCTCCAAGTGGAGCTCCTCATTCTACCCAACCCTGTGTCGTCATCCCCCACCCCACCCCCATTCTACCCACCTCTACCCAACCCTGTGTCGTCACCACTGCCCCACTCCCAACTAGATGAGCTCCTTGGAAAACTGGAAGAAGTCGTAACACTGTTTCTTTTCAGAAGTTGTTTTGATATTTACATTTCTCAGTGTAGAAAACTGGAAGGCAGCTGGGTTGAATACCCATTGAGTTGAAAGTGGTGTTGGGATGAGCAGGTCAGGGAAAGGAGAGGGGAGGGCCGGTGGCTTAGCTGGCGCCAAAGGCAGCATTGAAGTCTTTCCTATGAACCTGGTGGAGGGGTGGGGGGCGGAGAAGTAGAGAAGGATGAGATTGGTAGTTTCTGAGAAAAGGCATCTGATTCTCCTCTCCAGCTTCAGGAGGAGAGAAGAGGTGGTAGGTAAAAGAGAAGCTGGCTGGTCTTGTTTGCTGGAGGAATAGTGAGTCCCCACTCTCTTCCTTTTTAAGAGTTACAAACCTGGTTTCAGAATCACCTTTCATGGAATCAGTGTTCATTTTGTTGTGCTAAATTCCTTAAGCTCAGTGACCCGAAGCAAACCCAGCTCTCCCTCCGTCCTCCCCACTCCCCATTGGTAACTGTACGTTTCACTTTGGTTATAACACACTCCTATTGCTTTTGCCAGCTGTCAAGTCAGTGGTGTTTCTTGTCACCTGGGAAGTTCAGTGCTCCAGTCCTGGGCTGCCAGGTTAATGGAGCATGCTTCCAGGTTCTTCATGGCAAAGCATACCTACAGCTGAGGAGTCTGTGTTACCCCGTCTGTCAGCTAGTGAGAGGAAATGTGGAGGAAGTGAGAGACACAGCTATTGTGCGTCTAAAGGAGCCTTCATATCTCAGCATTAATGGGATTTCTATCTTGTAGAGAGAGCATCGAATCTCATGATCATAGATTTATCACTATCATCCCACCTCTGGGATGGAGGTGTGGCAAGGGCTTCCTCATTTTTCCACATTCATTCTTGCAACCCAGACATTTCCTGAGTCAGACCCCATTAACCTTCCTTTACTGGTACGTCTTTCGGTTGCTAGTTTGAAGACATCTGTTTTCCAGATGGATGTGAAGTAAGGAAAGAACTTTGGTGCTTGAGCAGTCTTTGTGTCTGAAACTGGCCATGGCCAGTCATAGGCTGCCTAAGTGTGCTCTCCTAGAGTCACTCTGGAAGAAGTAACTGTCAAGATGGACAGTGGAGCTGTTGGGTCTTCCTTACTCTCCTGTAGTGTTCCATGTGACAGCCTCCTGAGTTCTCTGCTTGTGTCAGCCTCATATGACAAACTAAACATAGTCAGGTTGGAGTTCTAGATGATTTAGGGTGAAGCCCTGTGTCTTGGAAACTTAGAAAACTATCTCATCTGGAAAGTGCCCTGTGGGCTTCCTCTGTAGAGTCACCTTCCTCCTTTAGCCAAACAAAGGAAATGTGCTTCCTCAGTAGCTGTAAAGAAAAATGGACTCTGTGTCAGTTAGCCCACCTCTGATATGTCTCACGGTACCCTTTTCCTCCTTGACTTAATACTACCAACAGTATAAGATCATGATTCAGAGATTAGCATATCTGTGAGTTCTGCCTCTGGAGGGTACAGGTCTCTCACCATCATATAGAAAGGGCTGTTCTGCAGTACAGCCCCAAATCTAGAATCCATAGAGATCTTAAAATGGTTAATATGTAGTTTGGAGGGGTTCTGTCTCCAATTTCAGTCACCCATAATTTAAAAAGTAGTTTTTATCCTGTGTTTGCATGGCTCTGAGATAGGTAATGTGGAATGACATAAGAGGTAGAAGACAAGATCGCTTCCCGGAGCTATAAAGTGACTGTTGCATATAAAGGAATTGGAGAGCAACTCATTGCAGCAGAAGATCAAGGACCATCTTTAAAGATAGAGTGGGTGTGATCAGGGTAGACCAGATGGTCTAGGAAAGCTCTGTGGTGATGAGGCTTTGGGTTGTAGGCTAGGGCAGTGTAACAGAACACTCAAACTAAAGCACAGAAGGAGAAATCTGTGGCAAGTGTGCAGCTGCCTTAAAAGCATCAGAGTCCTATTTGACAACAGCAAAGGTCTAGACTGAAACTTCTCAGTAGTTGGACAGGTCTGAAGATGAAGGGGGTGTGTGTGTGAAGGTGTGGTGGAGGACAAAACCAGAAGTCAGCAGACACCTCTGTGGTACTAGGGTTACCAGTGGAGAATTTACTTATTCAGGTGCTCCTGTGGAGCATGGGCAACTCACTGTTTTTGGCCTGGAAAAGTGTCCTGCTGCACTGTGCTCATGATCTGCATGTGTTTCAGACACAGCCCAACTGGTCTGATCCTTCCTTGGTAGAATGGGCTGTAAAACAGCAGTGTGGGAGATGGCTCTGTGAGGCATGGCTTGGCACAAGGGAGGCCTTGTGTAGAAGGGAATGGTTGGAGAGAGCAGTTGAGGCAGTTAACTGTACTGCAGGCTGGTTGGACAACGGGAGCAGGAGCTAGGCCAGAAGTCAGCATTGGCTTTCGCCCTCTGCCCATGCTGGACAGAGCAGGTGGAAATGCAGTCCACAGAGGTGACTCACTTGTCTTTGGTGGTTATGTGCCAGCCACAAACCAGGAAAGGCCATCACTTCTAGAGACCTGCTGTGGATTTCTGAGTTGTGTTTGGGGGAAGTCACTACTCCCAGACCCAGCCTATGTAACCTTCATTTGCTTATTACTGATCAGTTGTAACCTTCCTCAAGATAGGTATGTGTCAGTGTACGCTAGTGACAGCTACTGCTACAACCTATTATTACTTGAAATGCATGTCCGTGCTGATAGCGTAGGCATGGGGGGAGCAGGGCCTTGGCTGTGGGGTCCAGTTGTCCTGGTTTGATGTTTAGGCTGATCATGGCCTAGTTTCCTGCTTTTGCCAAGGTGAAGTATATGAAGATGGCAGTGCCAGCTTCTTGAAAAAGCTTGGAAGTGTCCCATAGTTCTGTTTCTCCTTCCCCACTGTCACTTAGGCTAAGCAGGGAGTGATGGGATGGCTACACATTCCCCTCTGATATACATCCCTTAAAAACTGGGGTATAGTTCAAAGTACAGTCCCAGGAAGTACCCCAGGGAGCCACCACCTTTCAGCCTTTCCCCGTGCTCCTAGAAGGGCATGGCTTGCTTGGAGCCCCTATTCCAATTGGAAGTAGGGACAGGAGAAACTTAACCCAAGGAAAGATATTTTCTTTCCTCCTTGTCGCCTCTCCTGACCTTTGAATCCAGGAGTCAGAGGTCAAGTCACTGAGATGTAAGGAGCTGCCACAAGTTTTGGAAGTCTATATAAGTGTGTCTCCTCATTTGTAGAAGTCTTGTCTGCTGTTGGGGTGTTTGGAACATCTCTACTAGTGGGGACTAGGATTTGTTTTCCACTTTAAGAGAATGGCATGCCCCCTGTGTGGAGGGGAAGAGCTTTGAGTTAGACATTTTCCCTATGGGAATCCTCTTGGTTTGGTTTGTGGGAAGAGGGAAGTGGATAAATGGTTTTTATTTCTAGTCATCAACACAGCTGTCCTTACACTAAATCTGTGCTATTGCATACATGTAGCCATCTTTCTTTTCACTGCAGCAGTGTTTATCAGTAGTTCAAAATGATTTATTTGCTCCTGGGGAGTAAAACCTTTTTTATTAAAAAGAAAAAAGAAAAAAAAAAAAAAAAAAAAAAAAAAAGAAAGAAAGAAAGAAAAGAAAGGTGTGCCCTATTAAGATAGCTGTAGAATTGTTGGGCCACAAAAGTCAAGTCTGCAAGTCCCCATGGCACATCCTGTTTCGGCATTGGAGCCTTTGTGCTCAGTATAGTGTGCCAGGAGGCCTTCCTTGAACAGGGGAGAACAACGTTCTGGGGAGTGAGATGGGATTGAGTCACCGAGGGCTCTGGGGACTCGGTCCTGCCGTTGAAAATAGAGTTCTGATTCTACAGTCTGCCAGAGAAGGGAGCCTTTCTTTACGTGCAGATTTCATGTGTCCTTGACTTTCCATTGCTTCCTGGTGTCCTGGGTAGGGGTCACCTAGTTTTCTTCTGGTGTCCCTCTTCTCTTTCCTGCCCTTTGTCCTGTTCCTTCCCACGTCATCTACCTCCCGGAAAGCCAACCCTGCATGCCGAGTTTGTGACATGCCTTCACTCCCATTTCATCTCAGAGGGTTTTAGAGGGTCCCTGGAGCTGCTCCCTGCCCACTGATCCTCCTCACAATGCCTAAAGGCATCAAGGAGCAAACAAAAGCAGCCAGCTGTAGCGGGCAGACAGCAACATTGGATCGCAGCTGGACTGCGATGGCAGTGCTTCTGGAGACACATAGGGAAAGTGCGACACTCCTTCAGCCCACTTGAGTGTGACCCCTACTGTACACACACAGCTCAGTGGACAGTGGGCTGGTCTGACCACTCCATCCCTGGTGCTCCCATGGGGGACAGGCAAGATCCAGGCACTGCTCTGGGCAGGCCAGATATTGGGCTGCCACACTGGTGCTGCATGGCACAGGCACTGCTGTGCACTCTGTGGTTTTTCAGAAACTCCATGCTGAGGGGTGTCATTCTGGACTCAGTGGTTAGGGGGTTCTTCGTTAGAGGGGAGCCATACTCCTGCAACCACTCTGTCCTGCTCAGCCACCCCTGCCCTCCGAGCCAAAGCGTGGCCTGGTTTTTGTCTTCCCATTTAGTTTTCCTCCTTTATTCTCCCTTTTTGTGCTTAATTTATTAAAATAGTTGCTGTATAATTTATTTTCATAAAGTATAAAAAATAACTAAATGGTTAAAATAGACTTGCAGGCCAATCTTAAATGGGTGGGAGATCTGGGGTGGGATGGGGAGAGGGAAAGATGTTTTGATATAAACAAAACAAATGCACTTTGGGTGTGTTTTGGTATTTTTCTGGGCATAGAGGGGTGGGTGTTGGGATGTCCCTGTAGATTAGTTCCAGAATGGGGTGTCTGTAAATACTGTATTAATAGGCATGTTTGACTCTTGTAAAGGGACATTAGTAGCTGCTGCAGGTCCTGTTTGGAAACCCTGTGTATAATTCCCGGTTTTTTGTAAGTGTCAGTGCGGGAGACATTTGACTCTTGTGTTTGTATCTCCTTTTTATGATTGCTGTACCGACCCATGTCTTTTTGGGGAGGGATGAAAAGAGATTTGAAATAAAAATGTTTAGAAATGATCTGTTTGTTAGTTTTTGTGTTTACCAGTCCCCCTCTCCTGACTTTTCATCCTTGCTCAGGCATGGGGTCCCTGAACTGGCAGCCACTGCAGAATATACCCAGTTCATCTTTAAGTAGAGTTGTTGGAAAATCCCTGAGGCTCATGGCTGCTGCCCAGAGCTGCCCTAGAAGTTCAGGAGCATTCCAGAGAGCCTTGGGGAGAGAGGGTAGATGCCTGAAGCCTTCCTGACTGGGTGAGCAGTAGCACAGTGTGGACTGGCACATTTTATGTGACAGTAGCCATCCTCGTACTGCTGGCTTTAAGCTTCCTTGCTGCTTTTCAGCCTGGCTCTCCTAGCTGTTGCTTTCCTGGTTGGTGCTGGTATATACTGGGAACAACTCTAACCCCACCCATCCTTTCCACTTAACTCTTTCTTCCCTGCTTAAGGAGCCAGTGTCTGCTTGGAAATTGTCTGCAGGTTTCCTGCTGAATTCTCTGGGAAGCCTCTTCACTGGGCTAATCAGAGGCAGCCTAGGAGTCTGCTAGCCCCGGTCAGCTCCTGTGGGAAAGCAGTCCCATGTGATGACACTGTTCCTCGGTCCTGATAGTCTGACAATGGCAGTGACTCCTGAGTAAAATTTCCTTTGTTCTTGAAAGAAAAGATGGCTTCAACAATAAAATCAACAAATTACAAGGGAGGCTTCACTAGCCATTTTGGAACCCATCACAAGAGATCTCAGCCAGAAGCACCTGAGCTCGGGAGGCCTCATCGAGAGCATGTTAAAGTGTGTTATCAGAATATACTTACCAAATGCAGTACTAATTTCCATTGTTCCAACTCCAGATCATGTGACATAGTGAGGCCTGTTGGACTCTAAGCTTAGGAAAGTGAGGTCCAGGCCCCCTCTGACTTGGGCCATAAAACCCTTGGAAGGATGGTTATCCTTTTGTAAGCTTGGGCCCCAAACGTTCTTCTCTCTACAACTTGAAACTACCCCTTTACCTCCTGTGGTCTTGTGTGCTTGCAGCTACTCCCTTTTGTCCCAAAGGCTGTCCCGTCCCCTTACCAAGACGAAGGTGTTCTTGCCCATGCTTAACTACAAGTCCATGGCAACTGTGTGGAAGATAGTCCTGCTAGTTTGTCCCATGTCCCTTGGCTGAGGTGACATCAGGAAAAGTGTTTCCCTGTCTTTCTTGGCTCCTCCCACATCTCACTATGAGCATCTCACACTTCATGACTTCTGTATAATTGTGCCAGCTGGACTGACTCAGTAACCACTATTTTCCTCTGTTGTTAGCCAAAAGCTCAAGAGTTCATTCAAGCTACCCGGTGGGTTGTTGTCATTGGGACTCCTTCCCAAGGATTGGGACGGTGCATTGTTAAACTGTACTTAGGTCTCCACAGAAGCTGGAACTGTCAAAACAAAACCCTTAGCCATATGCAGAGGACCCAGGTCTGGGTTTTCAGCACCATGGTAGCCTACAAACCATCTGTAATGCTAATCCTGGGGGCCTGGTGCCCTCTTCTGGCCTCCATGGGCACCTGACACAACTGGCACAGGTACATACATGCAGATAAAACATTCATACACATAAATCTTAAAGAAAATAATTCCTAAAGTGGGCAGTGGTGGTGCGTGCTTTTAATCCCAGCACTCCGGAGGCAGAGGCAGGTGGATCTCTGTGTAATCAAGGCCAGCCTGGTCTACAAAGCAAGTTCAAGAACAGGCTCCAAAGATAAACAGAGAAACCCTGTCTCAAAAAAAACAAGAAAAAACAAAAAAAAAACAAAAAACAAAAAACAAAAAAAAAAAACAAAGAACAACAAAAAATTTCTTCTAGCCCGCAATGATGGCACATGCCTTTAATCCCAGCACCAGGTATTTAGAGGCAGGCAGGCAGGTAGGCAGATAGCTGAGTTTGAGGCCAGCCTGCTTTACAGAGTTACGGGACAGACAGAGCTACAGAGTGAGACCCTGTCTGTTGTGGAATATTTAACTATGTGAAGATGTGAAACATCAGTTTATGCTGTGGAATATTTTAACTGTGTAAAGATGTTTGTGCTGCATTTGTTTAATTACATAAAGGTGTATTGCTGTTTCACCTTGCCTGCCTGAAGACATCTGACTGGTCTAATGAAGAGCTGGATGGCCAATAGCTCGGCAGAGAAAGGATAGGTAGGGCTGGCAAGCAGAGGAAATAAGTAGGAGAGAGAAGGATAAAGAGTATGGGTGGGTGGGTGGGTGGGGGGCACATGCCCAGGGCCATAAGCCAGGCAGCAGGAGGAAGCAGGAAAGTAAGATACACAGAAGAAGAGGGGACAGGAGAGGTAAGAAGCTCTGAGGAGGGGCTGGAGAGATGATAATAGAAGTTAAGATCACTGACTGCTCTTCCAGAGGTCCTGAGTTCAATTCCCAGCAACTACATGGTGGCTCACAACCATCTGTAATGAGATCTGGTGCCCTCTGTATGCCAGAAGGTATATGCCAGAGGGCATTGCATACATAATAAATAAATCTTAAAAAAAAAAAAGACACCAAAAGCACCAAAGCAAAATGTAGATAAAGAGAAACAGATTAAAACAAGAACTAAGATAAGGCCAAGCATTCATAACTAATAACAAGTCTCCATGTTTCCATGTCATGATTTGGGAGCTGGTTGATGGCTGTTACACCTGTCTAAAAATACTACAAATAAAAAACCACATGTAAGGGCCTGTGAGAAGGCTTAGCAGGTAAAGGTACTTGATACCAAGGCTGACTACCTGAGTTGAATCCTCATCCTGAGTTGAATGTATATGGTGAATCTGGAGCCCACATTATGGGAAGGAGAAAATTGACTTCTGAAAATTGCCCACTGACCTACGCGCGCGCGGCGCACACACACACACACACACACACACACACAGAGGGTTCACACTTAGACTGAGAGGTTCATAGCGTCAGGGACAGGTCATCCTGGCTGAAATCATTTCTGGGCTTGGATAGGGTACTGAGATGGAAACCACACTGGACTTAGAAGCAAGCACCTTTGGAAGAGTTTTGAGCCACACTGGCCAAGGGAGAACCCAGCAAGTGTGAGGAGGCTGGAAGAGCAGCCAACCCCTGAATTCGCCTGACACCGGTTGATCTCCCCCAAGTGAACAGAAGCAAGATCAGGACAGAGCATGCCCTTCGCGGGTGCCAACGCCTACCAGTATCAAACACTCAGGGCTAGGGTTGGCCAAACCTAAATGGGCAGTGACCTTGGACGCAGGACAGGGACTTCATTTCACCGGGTTCTAGGGATTCTGCGGCTGGGAGGCGGGGGCGGGGGCGGGTATGGGAGTGGACGAAGCCAGGTGAACCTTCGAGCTTCTCCCGCCACCTAGTGGCTGCTCTAAGCCAGTCCCCCACCCCCACCCCCACCCCCACCCCCAGCAGCTCTCGCAGGCTGCTGGTGATGGGTGAGGCTGGAATAAAAATTCACAAGCAGCATCTCCAGTCCTTTTCCGCGGCCATATTTCGCCTTGGCCAGTAGGGGACCCTAGCTTGCCCCACACCCTCCGCCTGCCATACGTGAGGGACAAAACCCCTCTTTGAAGTGCAAAGAGAGCCATGTTTTCTAGATTCACTGATGGTGTGCTGAGCTGAAGCCCACAACCCCACACTGATGGGTGCCACTCTCACAGCTTGTCCCAGTCCGCTTGGCTTGACGATGGCCAGTGACAGATGCTGGGACTTCAGCCCAGCTTGGTGTTATCCTAGGATTCTGTGTAATTCTCTAAATAAGTGCTGTTTCGTGCAGGCGCTTGGGTGTTCCCCCAGCCTCCTCCATCTCCTCTGGAGGATATGCCCTTTCCCCGCTAAAATGACAAGGGACAACAACCACCCCGAGTCCTACTGAAGAGGCCAGCTGAGCCTGTGCTACTTCTGGGTCTAGCGAGGGTCTAGCCCTCGCCTAGGGGAGAAGGCTGCTTGCGCTGAGGTCTTCATTACATCACGACAGGCTCCTGCCTAGGAAGCAGTAAGGATTTGGGGAGAGACCAGACCCTGGGGGAGGAGCTTCGGGAGGGATCCAGGAGGGGCCTTGTGACCGGCTGTGAATCCCGAGTAAGGCGTCCAGGGACACCTGTATGCACTCTGGTGCCTGCCACCTTTCCCGACTGACAACCGCTCTCCCTCCCCAGGCCTGGCAGCCTCAGCTGCACCCTGCCAGATTGCATCATGCCTGGCTTTGTTCTCAAAGAAGCAGGTGCAGGAGAGCCACTTCCTTCTCATTCTTTGTGTCCCCTCCTGGGCCACCCTCCTTTCTCCCTTCTGGGTTCTCAACACCCCATTAGAGGGAGGAAGGCTGAATAGGCTGTATCACTGTAGATTCCCCCCAAAAGGAACACCAGGTGGCATAGTAGGATGCAGACTATCAGAGCTGAGTGACAAGGTCAGAAACATTCTCCTGCTTCTAAAGCTAAAAATAACATGCGCTGAATTAATTCAACCCTCGTAGGAAGTACGGTGTGTGTGTGTGTGGGGGGGGGTCGTTTGTGTAGACCTAGTGCTTTCTGCCCATACTCTTGTGTAACCCTTTCTGCAGTCATGTGAGGTGGGACTACTGTCACCTGCTTTTCCACCGGAGCGCAGAGATGTGAGAATACTTGTCCAGGGTCACAGGGCCACTCAGGCAGACCTTGGATTTGAATCTTGGTCTGTTTTCCTTTTGACAGACTTTTCCAAGAGATGGTTGGAAAATTCCATGCTGCCCGGACCTGAACATTTTCTTTAAAAGGGGGGCTTGGAGCTGGCAATGGTGACTCATACCTGCCATCCTAATAGTTAGGAGAGAGCTGCAGGAGGGAGTGCCATGAGTTCAAGACCAGCCTGAGCTTCATAATGAGTTAGAGGCCAGCCAGGGTTACAAGTAGGACCTTGTCTAAAAATATCAGAAATCCGAAGGGAGTGCGTTGGAGTGCCCAACACACCCATTAAGAGGCAAGAGGGTCTTTCTTGTCTTTTCATTTGTGGAAAAATAATAATAAAAGGA